TTCTTTTCCTATCTGGATTCCTTTTACTTCTTTTTCTGCCCTGATTGCTGTGGCCAACACTTCCAAAACTATGTTGAATAGTAGTGGTGAGAGTGGGCACCCTTGTCTTGTTCCTGATTTCAGGGGAAATGCTTTCAATTTTTCACCATTGAGGGTATTTGACTTTAAATGTATGAAGTTTAAGAAACCATTCAGTTTATATTTAAACTAATTATGGACTTCCTGCACTTCCCCCCAAAATCTAGGCAATACTTTATTAATCCTTATCTCAGGAAATCCTTAAGTAAATTTTACCAAATCCCTCAAATATTAACAATTTAAGGTATTTTACGTATACTTCCTAATTAAAAAACTATGAAAAATAAGTATTATTGCAACTAAGATGCAAATACAACTGAGAATCAGTCACAGCTTAATAGAAATAGCATCATGAACAGTTCTTACCTTTTGGGAATTTCACATAGCTGATTCTTACTGAAGTTAATCGAAGTGATAATGTTACTTTTTACCGCATCAAACACTTCATCAGGAATCAAAGCTGTCTGTTTATCACTAAATGAAAAATGGTTTAAAAATGCATCATTCTGGGACTTCCCTGGTGGTCCGGTGCCTAAGATTCCATGCTCCCAATGCAGTGGGCCCTGGTGAGGGAACTAGATCCTGCATGCCCCAACTAAGACTGAAGATCCAGAGAGCCTCAACTAAAACCTGGTGCAACCAAACAAATAATTTTTTTAAAAAGTGAATCATCCTTAGCAATCTGGGGAGACATCATTCTTAGCAAAATGGAAATGAACAGCAATCTGTGCTGTTCATTTTAAAGGCCTTTAAAGATTTCATAAGGAGATTTCTCAAGGTAGTTTATTATGAAGTTCTGTAAAGAATACCACAAAAACCTATCAACTCACAAAATGTTAGGAATTCAGACAACCTATTGTGTCGTAACTCCTTTGGTGTGACATAAACTCACAGTCATAAACTCAATATGAATAAAAACAGATACCTTTAAAGTCTAAGATGTCCAAGAGTCATACAGTAAAGGAATAGTAATTGGGATTCCTGTACTGCAGAGTACAGCTAAATCTCTAATTTTAAAAACTATCTCGCCTTCTTTCTTAAAAATCTCTTAATAGAGTTTAGCTGTCAACTTTCTTTGGATACAGAGTTAACTGCAGACAACAATCAATTTTTTAAAAGTTCAACACTGTACTAAACTAGTTTTCTCATAACCTAAACCAGTTTCTCCCTCACTTAGCACGTGACAAAGTATGGCCTTGGACTAAACTATTTCTGGTTCTTCCATTAATACACTTTGTTAATTTACCCGCCTTAAACCTCAGTTCTATGAAGTTAGAATCTAAAGGCATTTTCTTTTCATTAAATTTCATTACATTTCTTTTCCATTAAAATTTTCAGTTATATTTTCAATAAAATATAATTTTATTAAGAAAGTATAGTAGAACTCTGACATTTGCAAATTTAACAATCTGATGTTCTAATTGGGCATTATGCTTATGTTCTTCTTTTATAATTTTTACTTCCTAACCTCGTCCACTAAAAAAGAATCTTCAGAAGAATGCCAAAAATGAACGACTGTATGAATAAGAAAACAATGCTACATATAATGTGTGATACTGGAGAACTGTATAAGAAAAGCACTATAATACAGAAAGATAAAAAGCCTAAATTTCACCATTAGTATGCTTCCACTTTTGCTTTCAGGTTCCATTTTCTGCTGTGCAGATGGAACACTTTCACCTTTTCGATCAGAATTGCTCAAGTCACAGAGAACTGGCTTATTCAAATTAAAGTTTGAAGAGTTACGCTATTTTAAAAACTTCAGTTGAAGGCATTTATGCCTTAAGAGAAATAATTTATACTTTAAATAGAATACTTCTGTCCAATTCAAGTCTCCAAGGAAAACAAATTACAATAAATTTAGAATCAAAACAATCTAAGATGTATCGTCTTAAGTGCTACCTTTATTATGCTTTTGTGATATCTGTGCCTTTAAAGAATGGGAATGATTAACCCCACCAAAAAAAAAAAAAGCATCAATACCACTTTAATAGATTGCTTAAAACGATTAAAAGAAAGAGCATATGTAAAGCTGCACAGTGTTCAGCATAGAAGAGAAACTCAATGAACTCAATAAATCTTATCCATGCAGGGTAGAGGGAGTGGAAGCCAGAGATAAAAGGAATTCTAAGCTAAGAAATTCCAAGACAGGAATCAAGTCTGTCTGAACATTTGGTATATTATAAAACCTAACATAGAATTTGATACCTAGTAGGTTCCAAAAATATCTACTGAATAAATGGGTATATCATGTGTAAAATAAAACATGCTAAATTACTACACTAGAATGCGATGAAAAGGACACAACTACAACTAGGGATGAGTACTCTCTTGTATGACAGTGTCAAAGAAGGAAGGCTGAGAGTAGTGATTTCTATGTGAATGAAACACAGCAAATATGACATGGAGACTGTATCCTGACTGCTGAGGAGGTAGTTCCCACTGATAGTACACCTTGAGGAAAAGAGGCCAGGAACTGATGATGGTTCTGTGGATAATTGAATAAACCTTGTCACTATCTGACTTGAGAATGTATCCTTTAATTACAATACCCAAGCATGAGCTATCACTGAAAGACTTCTGACTGTACTGGCTGCTTTTATCATTGTTGCCTTAGACATCACTGACAAATACTTGACAACCACTTCCAATTTCTGCATAGGTATCCTCTTTCTCCAGTCAAACACATGCCCATAATATATAAACATCATTAGGCTTCTGCCTCGGTTTACATGCCAACATTGTAACTATTTCAGGTTTAATATATGTGCCACCAGAGCACATTATTAAAACATACTATTTGGCTTGAATTCAGATATATAAACAGAGTACAACCTCTCAAGCTTTGCCTGCTTGAGGTATTCATTAAATAAATGATACTTACACTTCTTAGTTACCAATATATGACCTCCCTCCAATATAAAATTCTCTCTGGATGCTGGATACTAAATCAGAAAATTTTATTACCAAACAATATTGCGTCTCATTTTTTACAATTATAAAATATTATAAAAAATTTACTATTAACAACCACATATCAACCTCCTTAAGCATAATAAACACAAATCACCTAAGGAATGGGCTTAAGTTCACTGTACTTTTAATATGCTTTTATCTCATCGCTTTTTTTTGCAATTGCTACTATTCTAAGTACTAATGCACTCTGATGAATTCTTCTTCACCAACTCTGAAAAATTATTTCTGAAAGTTACTTATGTGTTTTACAACATTTAAGAAAATGAATTACATACCTATAGTCTAACATTTTTAATGTGATGATGGCATGCACATTGACTCTAGATTCACTTGGCAGTGTCATGGCAGTCTCAGTAACAGAATCATTTTGGCTAGGTCCATCATCTGGCAAAAGAAAAGTTATATAAAACTAATATTTGTACTATGAAGTCATTGAAAAATTCCTGAAAATACTTAGAAATAGTACACATGATTTTTAGATACTGTTGGTGAAAATGTCTTTTAATATGCTTTATTTCCAATAACTCAAATCTAGGTATAGAGTTTTACCTTTATTTAACAGAAAAAAGATAAAAAGTTCAAAATCTTTTAATAAATCTTACCATAAGAAAATTTAGGAGTAGAAAAGGATAAAGAATAACTACAATGTCTCAGAAGAAACAATGACAAGCAAAAATAGTATTCCTTCCAATGAAGGAATTTGTTAACAAAGGAAAAGTACTATTTTCCAAAAATGTCTACCAAATAGGCTTCTGCCTATCTTTTCAGTTTAGGACACAATGAAGCTGATTATCCCCAATCATTTAAAATCTGGCAATCTGCATAGCCTAGTAAGCTTTTCGTACATTACTTATATTTACTAAGATCTTTCTTAGCAAATGTAAGACTGTATTTTCAATAGATATTTCCTAACACGCATACCTACTCACATTTACACACAATCAACTCCTTCACCAACCTCTCGAGACTGTTTGATCTTTAACACTGTCACCATACGATATAAAAAGCAAAATAAACAAAAATCATCCACAATTAAAAGAAATGGCTTTGTGATTTTTTGGCGAAAGAGACTTCCACCATTTAGACATAAATAAAATAAGACAATTTTTAGCAACGTGAAAATGATGGAATAGTTGTAACAGTCACATTAAGAACAGAGACTTGCCAAAAGAACATTAAAAAAATCAGTAGTATCCCCGGATCTTTCCTCAACCCAGCAGGCATTTAATGAAACTTGTTGAATGATACTAAGTATATTTCTCTTGCCTTAAGCTCATCAGATATTCATTAGTCAATAATTATTAAACTATTTTTTCCACACAAATACATCCATATAAATATTTTATTTACAGAAGTAACATAATAAATGATAGACTATAGAATAGAGATGAACAACACAGAGGGCAACACTGATTTCAAGTGAAATGCTTTACTATTTAGAAGTTCCCTAGCAGTTTGGTTATGCCACTTAAAAGAATATGTAATATATACTACCAAATTTACATCTGCAGAGACAATATTAAACCAGCAACAAAACTCAGTGTTATTTTTAAATATACATTTATACTAGCATGATTATTTATTAAAGTAGAATATTCTCAAGACTTTCCAAAGTGCTACTTTTAATAATCAGCATCAAAGAGAATGTAAAAGGAAGGCAATTGTCTCTTGGGGGGGAGACTATTGTGAGAAACCGATTTACGTTGTACTATGTTTTCTTGTACAAGTACATTTATTGGCTTTTTGATTAAAAAAACCAAGATGGCAATATTCCATAAATGGATCTAGATTCAAAGCAATCTCTATCAGAATGATAACCTACTCCTTTGTAGAAATTAACAAGCTGATTCTAAAATGTTTATGAGATTGAGAAACAAACTATTTTGAAAGAAGAATAAAGCAGGAGGACTTATACACCTTCCAATTTCAAAATTTATTACAAAGCAGTGGTAACCAATGTACTGTATGGTACTGTACTGGCACAGGATAGGAATACAGATCAATGGAATAAACTTGTGAGTCTAGAATGAACCCTACATTCATGGTTAACTGATATTCAACGAAAAATGAAAAGACCATTCAGTGAGAAAAGCTGATTTTTCAACAAATGGTACACAGAAACTGCATAATCACATGCAAAAGAATGAAAGTGGACCCTTATCTCAGAGCATTTATAAAAATTAACTCACAGTGGATCAAAGACATGAATGTAAGAGCAAAAGTATAAACCTCTTAGAAGAAAAAAAGTATAAAATCTTCATAAAACAGGATTTTGCAAAGAAATTTTAGATAAGAAACAAAAAGCATTAGCAAAAAAAGAAAATGACTATTAAAATTTTTTTTAAAACCTGTGTTTCGAAGGATGCTTTTCATTTCGAGAAAATGAAAAGACAACACACAGGTGCCTAGAAAACATTTCCAAATTATGTATCTGACAAGAGACTTATACCTAGAATACATAAAGAACTATTACATCAACAATTAAAAAATTAAAAATTGGACAAAAGAACTCAAGATATTTCACCAAAGGTGTACAAATGGCTAATAAGCTCATGATGCTCAATATCATTATTCAAACCTGTTAATATACTTTCCAGTCAACAGAATCCTTATTTTATACAATAATAGTCAAGTTTTGCTCTTTTACAAAGGTAAAGCATTAGGTGCTGACAGAATCTTTTATTATAATTTCTAACTGGTACCCTATAACACAACTCAGAGATTAAGGACAGAACAGTACTGTGAATTTAAGAGTGTTTTCATAATTTCAGCATATTTATGGTCTCATGGATTCAGATTAGAGCCACATCTACCAGGGGCCATTTCCTCTAAATATTTATACTAAAACTACATGTAATTTAGTAGTTAATCAACACTTCACCACTTTTCATGTTATCTTTCAAAATATGGGAGAAAATAGAAGAGTACCTTTAATCTTGCTTCGTAGGTATTTTAAGACTTCTTGGGTTCCTTTCTGAAAAGAAGGGGATAAAAACATATTCACCAGACATACATTGCAGTTTTATATTAATAGATCATGTGTATGTTTCAATATCAAATTTAAAAACAAGAGCTGAATTCTAAATATGCTTACATTTATAATTTCTCTTCGAATGGTTCTCAAAGGATTTCCTTCAAGTGCCAGGAATTTCAAATGAAGTCTTCCCAATGAACAGGGCAGACTATAAAAGATTAAATGCATTTCAAGGAAAACATCAGGGATAAGTATAATTCAACCAAGTAGTTGATTATAAAACAAACAACATATGACAAGCTATACATCATAAAATAGTATCAAAGAAAACCCAAATAATTTAGGCCTAAAATATTTCCTTTCGAGATATATGCCAAACATGTTTAAGAAAAAAAAACAAGATTTGTTTTAATACTGTCATATTGTGATTAATAGAAAAAGAATGTGAGCTATAAAATATTTCCTAAATTGCAGACAGTGCCACTCTTATGGCAGAAAACGAAGAACTAAAGAATCTCTTGATGAAAGATGAGAGTGAGAAAGTTGGCTTGAAACTCAACATTCAGAAAACTAAGATCATGGCATCTGATTCCATCACTTCATGGCAAATAGATGGAGAAACAATGGAAAGAGTGACAGACTTCATTTTGGGGGGCTATAAAATCACTGCAGATGGTGATTGCAGCCATGAAATTAAAAAATGCTTACTCCTTGGAAGAAAAGTTATGACCAACCTAGACAGCACTTTAAAAAGCAGAGACATTACTTTGCCAACAAAGGTCTGCCTAGTCAAAGCTATGGATTTTCCAATAGTCATGTATGGATGTGAGATTTAGACCATAAAGAAAGTGGAGAGCTGAAGATTTGATGCTTTTGAACTGTGGTGTTGGAGAAGACTCTTAAGAGTCCCTTGGACTGCAAGGAGATCTAACCAGTCCATCCTAAAGGATATCAGTTCTGAGTGTTCAATGGAAGGACTGATGGTGAAGCTGAAACTCCAATACCTTGCCCGCCTGATGGGAAGAGCTGACTGATTAGAAAAGACCCTGATGGTGGGAAAGACTGAAGGCAGGAGAAGGGGACGACAGAGGATGAGATGTTGGATGGCATCACCGCCTCTATGGACATGAGTCTGAGTAAACTCTGGGAGTTGGTGATGGACAGGAAGGCCTGGCATGCTGCAGTCCATAGGACTGCAAAGAGCCTGACACAACTGAGCAACTGAACTGAACTGAGACAGTGCTAAAAAGTAAATTTTAGCAAATAAAAAAATTCCTAAATGAAAAAATCATGAAGAATAATTTTCAATCATATACTTCAGTTTTTCATTCAAAAAGAAAGTAATTTTTTTTTTTGGTACACCAGATAAAGCCTGCTGATATACATAAACATTAAATCTCAAAATTTATTAAGCAGCTATCATATACTATGCATTGTTGTAGGGATATCAAGGTCCTTTCCCTTAAAAACTTTTTAGATGAACAAAAGAAAAGGACACATGTATTGCTAACCAAAATACAGGAATTATCATATGTTGATGGTGAGCACGTAAAATAGCACAGCCACTTTGCTAAGTGGGAGTTTTTTAAACACACATTTACCATACAACTAAGCAATCCCACTCCAACATTTTACTCAGGAAAAGTGAAAATTATGTCCAACTAGAGATTTACATGAATGTTCATAACAGTTAAAAAATTGAGAGCAATCCAAACATCCATCAACTAACTACTGAAGAGATGAAAAAATTGTGGTATATCTGTATAATGGAATAACACTCAGCAATAAAAATGAATAAATTACTGAGACAAAAATAACACGAATGAATCACAGAAGCGTTATACTACAGGAAAGGAGGCACAAAAACTATATGCCGTGATTTCATTCATATACTTAAAAAAAGAAAACTACGGTGACAGAGCTCATCAGTGGTTGCTAGGGGTTGGGTATATGAAAAGGGGATTGACTGCAAAGGGTATAAAGAGACTTTAGGAAAGCAGAAACGTTCATTATTGTGACAGTGAATTACACCAATACATACAGTTGTCAAAAATCATCAAATTGTCTATTTTATATATATATAATAAAACACATGCTAAACAAGTAAGCTGCTTTCAGACTAGGGAAGTAGAAATTAGAAAAAGGACTAAAGGGAGAAGGAAGTAGCAAAGCCTGGATTTGGACCTAAAAAGAACAGAATTCCATTACGGAGTCAAGCAAGAAAAGGGCATTCTAAGGTAAAGAAAATGAAGAAAGAAAAAGTCAGCATATTTACAGTTCAATGTAGTCATAAGATACTTGTGGGGCTGAAAGATGAAAAAGAATGATGAATTCTGACTGTGAGATGTACTTGACTATTACGCTAAAAATCCTGGACTTTATCTTGCAAGACAGTGATTCCTAATTGTTGGTTAGAAAACCATATGTATCAAAATCTCTCAGGAACTTTTTAAAAACAAAACCAAAGCAATTCTAAGGTCCCACTGCTAAAGATTCTGATTCACTGCTGTCTCGGTATCTGCATTTTCCTTCTTAAAGCTTCTCTTGTGGTTCTAATACATAGCCATATTTAGGAAAAAGTGCTATAACAATGATCAACCATCCGTTTTTTAGTTGAAGAAAAAGCTGGTAACTTGTATTTTATAAAAACTACTCTGGTAGCATCACAAGGAATCAATTTTGTTAGATTCTGGAGGGGTATGAAATGAAAAGAATGGTCTTAATGTCTAGGAAGTATGAGGTTAGATGAAAGTAAAGAAAATATTTACTAGTTTCATTATGTTCTAGGCCCTGTGATACATACCCACTTTATATCCAGAGCTCTGGAGAAAGAGAAATATACACATCAGAAATATTTATACTGATTACTTATATAGTATTTATCATCATTTTTGTTTTAAATATTTCCGTTCTACTGTTTATACGTATTACCAGTAGCCGTAATAAAACTGCTGTGGAGAGAAAGGAAACTCCTTGGTGGCTCAGATGGTAAAGAATCTGCCTACAACGCAAAAGACACAGGCTATGTGGGTTTGATTCCTGGGTCAGGAAGATCCCCTGGAGAAGGAAACAGCACCCCACTCCAGTATTTCTTGTCTGAAAAATGCCATGGACAGAGGAGACTGGGGGGCTATACTCCATAAGGTTACAGAGAGTCAGACACAACTGAGTGACTAACATGGGGAAAAATGTACATGTCAATATTTATGAGGCAAGCAATTCTTTCATTCATTAGTTATAAGTACTTTTAGGAATATCCAGCTCGCTTATTAATTATGTTATAAATAGAAGTGATTGAAAAAAGTGGTCACTGTCCAAGTATTTTTAAAGTAGTAACTGAAATATAAACTAAGAAGAAAGTCGACCTTGCTTAACTGTTTGCCTGTTCATAGCAAACCAGGTTTCTGACATCCAAACACAAAACTGCAGACACCTAACTGGTTTACAACCCTAACTAAGTCTGAGTTTTATTTTTTATATATCTGTAAAATAATTCCATCTCTAAATATTATGGTTTTACAAGCTTTTATGATTCTTTGCTCACATCCTCTTCCTCTGCATCTCCAACACAATCAACTGCTAAATACTACTCAATCTAACTCATCACACCTCTCACATCTTTCCTTGTCTTTCCATTCTCATTGTCACTACAGTTTAGGTCCTTATTACTTGAGAGGAATCTAAAAAGCTGTCAACACAGTAAACTGGACGTAGCAAGTGCGCCTTTTCAGGTTAATTATTACTAGATTAATCTAATAGAACTTATTTAGAATTCCCATCTATAAACCCACTCCTATCCAAAGCATTCAACCCACTATCATCAACTTACAAGGTTACAATCATGTTAGTTTGGCTTTTAATCTCCCATTTCTTAACCAATAAAAACTGACTCTTCGTAGGGATTTCAGGACCTCTTTCACATAGCCTCAGTTTATCTTTCAAGACCTAAATACCTCACTACATGTACCCTACTAAACCTGATTCCTCACTGTCCTCTGAACATATACCTATAATTTATTTTCTAAACTTTCAGGGCTTAGTTTGTGCAATTTTCTCCTGCCAAGTACGTCATTCTGACCACCTTACATATGCACTTGAAAACTGGTCATCCTTGAAAGATCACATGGTGAGACTATAGTGAGGCAAGTCCCAGTGAGTACATTTTTAAATTTTGTGCTCTAGGCAATTAACCTGCTTCACTCTGGTACCAGTTCTATAACATCATCTAAAAATTGTACTTCTTACACAAAGTCTGCCCTGATTTTTCTCAATAAATTGTGACCTCTGTATCTTCTTTAAGTCACCAAAGTATTTTATATCTTTCCCATGGTTTTAGAGTCATTTAACAAATTCAACAAATATTTACCAGGCAGCTTCCATGAACACAGGCACTGACACAGAAGTTAGAGCAGTGAAAAAAAAGAGATAAAAACCTACCCATCCTAGAGTTCATGTTCAAGTGGTTTAGAAAGAAAGATAGCACTAAGTCATGTCCGACTCTTAAAATCCCATGTACTGTTGCCCGTCCAGGCTCCTCTGTCCATGGGATTCTCTATGCAAGAATACTGGAGTGGGTTGCCATTTCCTTCTCCAGGGGAAATTCCCAACCCAGGAATGGAACCCAGGTCTCCCGCATTGCAGGCAGATGCTTTACTGACTGAGCTCTGCAGGAGTCACTTGTAAATACAACTGATTCCATTAGTGTATTAAGCTTGCTGCCAAGAACAAAATCTAATTACCCTTTGTAGGTCTGCACATGACACCTACTAAATAAACATTTATTGAATTCAACTTATAAAAAAAAAATCTCTGCATGTTTTAACATATGAATTATAATCAAATACAGACATGACTTCATATCATTCCTTCTTAAACTTACCTACTAATATCATTGTTGCTTAGGTCAAGTCTTTCCAAAGACTGCAGGAGTGTAATTTCATCTGGAACAGATTTTAACTTGTTATCCCGCAGGTCTAGCACAAGGATAGAATTCAGATGCTTAAGATGTTCTGCCCCTAACATTTCAATCTGGTTTTCTCCTACATGTAATTCCTACAAAACCAAAGATCAATCATGTGTATTTTTGTATTCAATTTTATACTAGATAATGAAAGTAAAACTGAAATATTAATTTCAAGTCACTGAAAAACACATGGAAAAAACTTAATTTTATAATGACTAAGTTGCTTAAATTTTAGAGTTGGTGATGGACAGGGAGGCCTGGCGTGCTGCAATTCATGGGATCGCAAAGAGTCAGACACAACTGAGCGACTGAACTGAACTGAACTGAAGCTATCTTGCAGATACAGAAAAATAACAAAAAAGAAAATTTTTCAAGAATTTCCTAGTAATTTAAAAATAATTAAAGGCTTAATCCAGCAGAAAGTTCAAAGTTTAAAAAACCAAGGTAGAGAAATGATTTTAGTAGTTACATTTATAGAACAAAAATACAAATCCAAGAGCTATACTATAAAAAATTTAAGTTTTAAAACAAATCAGTATACCCATTTTATTTAAAGAAACTCAATGCATAAAAGTATACATAAGGGAAAGCAAAGCATGGCAATGCTATATATTTAACACCAAAAAAAAAGTAAATAATTTTAAACAGATCTTATGATGAGGTAAATATGGATTGGCAACTTAATTAGACGCATATTTCTTCCTGGTATTCTAGGCTTCCTACACTATGGTCCCAACTTACTTTGTTAGCTTCATCATCTAGTAAGTTGGTACAAAAGTAACTGAGGTTTTGGATTGTGAATTTTAAATCATTATTTTGCTGTTGTTCAGTCGCTTAGTTGTGTCCAACTCATAACCAGGCTCAAATACATCTTTATTAACCAAAATATGACCATTACAATCAACACATTTTTGCCAATGAAAAAATAAGTTTATTTCTATAGCATAAAAAAATCTCTGCTTCAGGATTCGATGAACTCTTTGAAAGCATTTTCTGCATCCTGCTGGTTATGGAAGCGTTTTCCCTGCAAAAAGTTTTCAAGATGCTTGAAAAAGTGGTAGTTGGTTGGCAAGAGGTCAGGTGAATATGGCAAATAAGGCAAAACTTCATAGCCCAATTCATTCAACTTTTGAAGTGTTGGTTGTATGACATGCATTCAGGTGCTGTCATGGAGAATTGGGCCCTTTCTGTTGACCAATGCCAACTGCAGGCGCTGCAGTTTTCAGTGCATCTCATCGTTTTGCTGAGCATACTTCTCAGATGTAATGGTCTTGCTGGGATTCAGAAAACTGTTGTGGATCAGACAGGCAACAGACCACCAGAGTGACCATGACCTTTTCTGGTCCAAGTTTGGATTTGGAAGTGCTTTGGAGCTTCTTCTAGGTCCGACCCTGAGCTGGTTGTCGTGTAAAATCCACTTTTGTCAAAAGTCACAATCTGATTAAGAAATGATTCACTGATGCATAGAATAAAAGAAGATATTCCAAAAAGATGATTTTTTTTGATTTTCAGTCAGCTCATAAGGCACCCATTTACTGAACTTTTTCACCTTTCCAATTTGCTTCAAATGCCAAACAACCGTAGAATGGTCAACAATGAGTTCTTCAGCAACTTCTCATGTAGTTTTAAGAGGATCAGCTTTAATGATACTCTCAATTGGTTACTGTCACCTACTGATAGCTGGCCACTATGCTCCACATCTTCAAGGCTCTCATCTCTTTTGCAAAACTTGAACCACCACTGCACTGTACGTTTGGTAGCTGTTTCAGGGCCAAATGCATTGTTGATATTGATATGGTGAGTTGTTTCTGCTGCTTTCCAACCCATTCTAAACTCAAAAAAATTGCTTGAATTTGCTCTTTGTCTAACATTATTTCTATAGTCTAAAATAATTATAAAATAAACAGCAAGCAATGTCATTAGCAAAAATATAAAGAAATGTACATTAAAATATGTACCATAACCATTTATTTAAGAATGTATTCCGATACCAATTGGCAAAGTTCAACAATGCAAAACCACAATTACTTTTGCACCAACCTAATACTACTTCTCGAGTTATAAACTACCCTCCAGGTGAAATGGGCAATTTCTTATTTTTAAAACCGATTATTTCTTTTTTTAAAAAATCTATTATTAACAATACCATTAATATATTCAATCATAATAAAATTCTGAAAAATGAAATAAGAAAAAAACACATAACTAATATGTAAACACATAACTCAATGTAAAATAAGTTTAAATTTTCATTTTCATGATTAACTTTCAGAAAATGTATATTTAATAAACAACTAAATAGTACCTTTAATAGCTTACAAGAAGGAAATTCTGGTAGAAAACGTAATTTATTCCTTCGCAAATATAGCAATTCTAGTGATTCCATGCTGGCCAATTCAGGAGGAATAGTTTCCAAGAGATTTGAATTACAATCCAAATGCTTTAATCCTGTAATACATATTCAGTGAAACACAAAGATACTTTAGTAGAGAAAAATATTGGTTTACAATTCTATATACGTTCGAAGAATGTTCATGTAATCATGAGGACTCACAAAACTGTGACTTTCTACACTGCTGTAATAATCAAGAACCCTAGAATACCACTGAATTACATAAATGAAAACTAAAACATTTTTACATTTAGTTACAATTAAAGAAAAACAATGATACTAAAGTCAATGTTTAATAACAGTCCAAGTCATCTTTGCAAAGACTTAAAAAACAAAATACTCTAGTATTCCCTTAAAGTACTCTAAAATACATAAACTATGAGATTATTTACCTCTAGTCATACATCTTTAAAGAAAAGCTTAAATTATTAAAGACATAAATATACATGCATACTACTCATATGAATGAATGTCAAGTAACTCTGGCCAGTAGTAGCTTACACATCCGTATTTGTTGTGTCAAAAAACCCATGGATTTCTATGTATCCTCTCCTACTCTTTCAGCCACTCAGTGCCTCTTTCCCTGTCTTTCCTTCCTTTTTTCTAATATTTTTTAAGTCACATGCTTTTTCTAACACCTTAGTTCGCACTCTTGATAAGAAGAATGTTCTCACTTGCAGCATCTCTCTCTTACCTCCTGAATATCTCATAAAAGACAGAATGGAAAACAAAAACAGAAGAAAAGTAAAGGTCTTCTTTTTCTTAAGACTTTAATAAGCAATTTCTCCCTAATCCATATTGCAGATTCTCCACTTACTGTTGTTGATTTAGTCACTAAGTTGTGTCTGACTCTTCTATGACCCCATGGACTGACTGTAGCCCACCAGCCTCCTCTGTCCATGGGATTTCCCACTCAAGAATACTGGCGTGGTAGCCATTTCCTTCTCCAGGGGGATCTTGCCAACCCACGGATCGAACCCACACTTTCTGCACTATTAGCTGGATGCTCTACCACTGAGCTACCAGGGAAGCCCTTTTCCACTTATATTTTCCACTATTCTCAACCCTATAGTTTGAATAGGCAATAGATATTTTACAACTATTTTTCATGTACTTTGAGCTTGTCAATTTTAACATAATTCAAGACTGAATTGATATATTTAGACTACTTTTAGTGTTTACAGAAACGAACAGCTTTTCAAAACAAATTTAAAAAACAAAACAAAACAAAACAAATTTAATAGTACTTTCAATTTATAATATGATAATTTACGTATTATTTGGCTAGAGCACTGAGGAAAATGTCATAATCTGATCCACCCTAAATCTAGTAAATTCTATAAAGAAGTTTGTTTTACATCTAGAAACTAGTTTTCACAAGTCTTTGCACTTAAGAGCACTGGTTGAGAATACAAATAGCATGTAGCAGAAAAAGCAAGAGGGATGAAGTAAGAAGATGAAAACCCTGGCTTTACAATTTGCTGTATAATTTCTAAACCTAGGTTTCTGAATCTTTAAAAGTAAATAATATGCATTCTCATTAATTTACAGAACTATTATGATGGCAAAATAATATATTTTATTTTTTAATTTTTTTTCATTTATTTTTATTAGTTGGAGGCTAATTACTTTACAATATCATAGTGGTTTTTGTCATACATTGACATGAATTAGCCACGGATTTACATGTATTCCCCATCCCGATCCTCCCTCCCGCCTCCCTCTCCACCCGATCCCTCTGGGTCTTCCCAGTGCACCAGGCCTGAGCACTTGTCTCATGCATCCAACCTGGGCTGGTGATCTGTTTCACCCTAGATAACATGCATGTTTCAATGCTGTTCTCTAGAAACATCCCACCATCGCCTTCTCCCATGTATTTTAAAGCATTTTGAATTACAAAGAACTATACAAATGTTACAAACCATAAAAATGTTAGAAACTATAGAATCTCAGTTGTGAATAGTGAAAAAAACAACTAAGTGTCCTACTGGTAATAGCTTAAAAGTATCTTTGTAATGGCTAAAACACAGAAAATATCTGAGACTAATTATATATTAGAAAACCTGCTATAAGTTTAAAGCATTTTTCTATTGATTTCAATATCTATTCTTATCTCTCAATATTTCTACTCAATTAAAAAAATAAAATAAAAACAAAAAACACATGCTTCTTGCATACTCATTCCAGGTATCACATTTTATGTTCAGCTCTATTTTCTAATACTTTTATTGAAAAATGGCAAAAACAAGCAGAGTTAACTATTGGTATCACAAGTAAAGGCTCCCCTAAAATGTCAATCCAATTTATGGCATTTAATTTATGCATTTCTGTAATAAATAACAAATAACCATTGTGCTGTTCTCAGTCGCTCAGTTGTGTCTGACTCTGTAGCCACACTGACTGTAGCCCACCAGGCTCCTCTGTCCATGGAATTTTCCAGCAAGAATACTAGAGTAGTGTGCGTTTGTAGGGGATCTTCCTGACCCAGGGATTAAACCCACATCTCTTGCAACTTCTGCACTGGCAGGCGGATTCTTTACCACTAGCACCAAATCAGAAGCCCAAATAACCATTAATCTAGAGTAAAACAGCAGTGATCATTTGTAATGTATAAAAATATCACTGTTTTATTTTTGTACACCTGAAACTAATAACATTGTTAAATTATACAGTATTTTTTAAAAATGTCAATGTATGACAAAAACCACTACAATGCTGTAAAGTAATTAGCCTCCAACTAATAAAAATAAATGAAAAAAAAAAAGTCAAACAGCACAATTTTACAAACTCACCTCTAAATAATCTGTAACCAAGTGTTCGAAATCACATCTATGATTTCCTCCAAAAAAGGGAGGTTTAAAAAAAATGAAAGAGCCCACATATGATTAGCAAAAGAAATAGATAAGGTAAACAGTCTACAGTTGACACATAGTGATCATCAACTAAGAAATAATAATAGTTTGCTTTTAGGTGAAAAAAGAGTTGACTGATTTTGGACTCAAGAATTCTAACATGAACAAGTATACTTATTTAAAATTACTGAAATGTACCTTCTATTTTCTTCATCCTTCATATTAGTTCCACAATACTTCAAATGGTAAACTTTCAAATGGTAAACTTTGATGGTAAACTTTAATAAAATAGAAACACTAAATTTAACTTGCTTTTAAAAAGGATTGACAATTTGGGCAAAACTAGACTATCTCTTGATGTTATTACTTACTGACCTCAAGAAGGATAAGAGTTAACATAACCTATCATAGGTGGAATCACCTAGGAGAGAGGCATGACCTCTCATTAAATGTGGAATATGTTAAAGAAGAGACAGCATGCTCAAAACCTTAATCAATTTCTCAGGTATATAATTTCCCCACAGTTTATAATCTTACTTTCTTTTTATCTTTTTGATGTGTCAAACTACTATTTTGGTAGTATGGATAGTATAGGATGGGATGGGATGGTTGGATGGCATCGCACTCAATGGATGTGAGTTTGAGCAAGCTTCAGGAGTCGGTGATGAACAGGGAAGTCTGGCATGCTGCAGTCCGTGGGGTCACAAAGAGTCGGACATGACTGAGCGACTGAACTGAACTGTTTTGGTGGTAAATTTTAATGAAGTTGCTAGATAATAATGCCCTGGGGAAAATCTGACTAGTTGTTATTGTTTGCATTTACCATGATAAAATCTATAGTTCTACTTCTCTGTAACTACATAAAAATTTATTTTTCTAAATATAAGTTACACAAACTTCAAATTTATTCAATTTTTAAAACAGAGAAGATTTACTTTTCATTCCACTTAGCTGTGCTGGCAAACTCTTCAGTTGATTACTGGAAAGATTGAGACGCACCAGGCTGGATAGAAAAGAAAAACTAGCAGGAACAGTTGTAAGACGATTATTTGAAAGATCCTTTAAAAAGAGAAAGACAAAATGAATAAATGAACAAGTAAACAAAAAAATAAATGAAGGATCCCTAAGGGGGGTGTTCAGAATTTTACGGACATTGCAACATTTAAAAAAACTATTTAGCGTAGATACACTTTGTAAGTCTCATTCACTGACAATTTCACAGATCATCATTCATTAACTCAATATTTTCTGCGGACCTACTACATGTCTAATAATGTAGCAGAGAGAAATTAAAATGAATTGATTTCAAAAATATTTTACAGAAAGGTTTCTGTTAGTACTAAGTCATGCTGTATCTTTCATCGTGTTTTTAAAAAATCCATTTATTCATCCATTATTTGTTGAGTATCTATGATACATCAGGCAAAATGTATAGTTAAACCATAATATAAAAAGAAAAACATCTTTGCAAAATAGAAAAATGCTTGAAAGAAAAAATGTAAGGCTGAAAAACAAGGCCATTTTAATTTGGGAGGAAAAAATATTCCCTCTTGGTTCTTCTGCTGACCACAGTAATTCTGCTTTAACTAAGTACAAAAGTCTACTGTTTAATTTTCACTCTTTCACTCTGCCTAATTAATCCCTATACCTTACTTTTGCATTATAAGTCTTTGCTTTTTCTCTAAATACTTATGAGAATTTATTTTGCAACTCCCTTTAAAAGACAATGCTATGTATCAGGTATTCTTCTTAAGACATTCAAATTAAATTTAAGTTATTTCACCAGCTATCACTAAACTATCAGGCAGTGCCAATGACAACACTGAATAAGAAAAAAATGACTTAAAGGAACTGTTCTCTGAAGACTATTATTTAGTCTAACATTAAATAACTATAACTCTAAATAAATCAAGAAAAGGAAAAATGCTATGCTATTACACATCAGCATATTTTTAAAACATACTGTTATTATTACAGTAACAACACATAATCTACAACATACAACATAATACTCTACAAATCAAATACTCTAAGGTCTAAGAATCAACAGATTACTAATAAATATTTTGTGATATCATAATTTACTGACACTAAATGCAATGTAGTATTCTGGATTGGATCCTGGAACAAAAAGAAAAGGACATTAGTGAAAACACTGGGAAAATATTATAAGATCTATAGTTTAGTTAGCAGTATTGTACCAAAGTCAATTTCTTAGTTTTTACAAATATCCCACAGCTATGTAAAATGTTCACCCACTAAGATGGGTGAAGGGTATACAGACACTCTCTGTACTATCTTTCCAACTTCTCTATAAATCTAAAATTATTCCAACATCAAAAGCTAAAAATAAAGAGTTTCTGATAAAGAAGAGTAATTCACAAATTCTTAAGAAATTTTAAAGAACCCAAAGTAACAGAATTACTAATAAATATTAAACTATTGCAGTTAATGATTAAATTGAATACAAAATAAGTACAGTGCATATGAATTAATCATTATTTATGTGACACCATCTCTTCAATAAATATTTATTTAGCACTGTGCTAAGCAGTTTTATGCAACTTTAAGAAATATTACTAGCTTAAACTCTTGCCCAGAAATAAGACCACTGCTGAGCTACCACAAAAGAATAAATGAATATTTTAATGCCACAATCTTTCCTGTTGCCTGTGGAGTCTCTGCTGAAATGAATTGGGATTCGGGTTCTAGGATGAGACAGAAAATGAAAGCATGTTGTTTGTCAGGACACTGTGGGTTTATAGTGATGTGACACAAGTTGATTTAGAACACTGGAATTCCATTCTTTTCTTTCTTTCTTTTTTCTTTTTTTGTAAAGGTAATTAACTACTCCCAGGAAGGATCCTTCAGTTATGTAAAATTTTGTTTCATGAAATGTCATGACTCCATTCATAATTCTGTCTTGTTTCAGCTGGTATATACAACTGTCAGAGCTCTTGTATTTGGAAAATTGGAAGGGCCCAGAATTTGAAACAGTGTCTTATTTTCACTGTTTTTGTTTTAAACTATAGCTATGTAAAGCTTGTGGATTAAACAGAATAAGTTTCTAAATTAAAAAAAAAGAAACATTGTTAGCTTAAATTATTACCTATCTTACACTTTCAATGCTTTAATTTATTGTTGTTCACATTTATGATTTATTTGATAATTAGTCCTTAAGAACACAATTCTCAACTGAAACATTCTTTTATTAAGAAAATGAATATCTGGAAACCCAGAACAAAAGTTTATAAGGTTTCCATTAAGCCTTCTACTAGATTCTTTTTTTAATCAATTACTATCTTTTACCACTAAATTTTGTAAGAAAATCTGATGGCTCCCTTCCTTCCCATTCATTTCATCTACCTTTTACTTTCCAAAATTTATTTCCAATCTTATCAGATTGAAAAACAAAGAGATACTAAAGAAATGGTTGAGGAGAGTATATATTTTGATTTCAACCACTAGAGCCGATGGGGGAAAATATCAAGAAAAAAATAAGTAAAAGTAATTTGTCCTTCAATAGAAAATAAACTTCAAGGCTAAAATGACACTAGTGAGTTTTTCAAAACATGCAATAGTGAACAGAACAAGAATGTACTATGAAATAACTACATGGAGTTGAGATTTATATTGGAACATCTGATCTAATATAGCTAGTCTTTCAGATAGGATAGCTTATAGTAGAGTCTTACTCCTCCTGTGGTAAATTTGGGAGGGAAGGATGTATACACTTCTAAATCAAATTGTCTGATGTTAAAATCCTGAATTCCTTAATTAGTTGTATGACTTTGGATGTTGCTTTTTTTAAAATCTGTAACAGGATGAAACTACTTAGCTATATGTAAAGCAAAGTGCCTGTTGTCTATATTATTCTTAATAATGTGACTAAAATAACATTTGTACTGCTTCATGGTTATCTCTATTTAAGATGTGAAATAGATGGAAGGAAAATTTCACCAAGAAATGTGGCCACTTTGGAAAACAGGGAAGAAAAGGCAGGCCCTGAAGTATCTGGATACTTAGGGAACAGAAGGACCATAGAACTCAAGAGGAGGTAATGGGTATCTACCAAGAGAAGCCACCTCGATGAGAAGCCCAGGCACCGCAGCTAGAGTAGCCCTCACACACTGCAACTAGAGAAAGCCTGCATGCAGCAACAAGACCCCATGCAGCCAAAAATACTTTTTAAAAAAGGGAGTAAGTATATGCTAAAAACACCTTTCCTCTATTTTGCTAAGTCATAAAAGCCTCTGAATAGCAAAGTCATCATCATCAGGCCCCTTCTAAAACTCTATTCTGAATTAAAATCTAAGGTAATTTCTATCATAAGAAAAACAGGAAAAAAGAAGAAAAACATAGGAAAAGAAATTTGCAATGATTAATTTAGCAATCTAATTGTAATACATAGTTCTGATAACCTAGTCATTATTAAAACAGGTGCCCATGTACTCATGATTGCTATCATATATCCAATTTCTCAGCCAAATGAAAATTCCCTCCAGCCCCAAATTATACAAATATTGCAAAATCAAAACTTACTAAATCTTCTAAGTTGGAAAGTTGTTCAAACCCCTCTGGTATGCAAGCGAGTTCATTATGCTGGAGATACAGGCCCTTCAGATTTCTTAGATTTGTAATTTCTTCAGGGAGTATTTTCAGCTTGTTATGGCTATTGATTGATAAAACAAATGCTGAATAATTTGGTAACAACAAAATAAATACTTAACAAGGCGTTTCTGCTAATCAAATACCTGGGCTCATTAAAAAAAAGTCAAGTAAGGTTACTAATTTTAAGTACTTATCAAACTTTACATCCTAAAAGGATACACCTATTAAAATGACAGTAATGTAATAAAATTGAGTGTTTCAAAGAAATAAAGATTTTGATGCAAAGATATAATTTGTGAAATTCTGATTGGTTCCTTTTAATCAACTTCATTTTACATGCAAGGTGAAAGAATACATTGGACTCTAAATTTTCACACTCTATCAGAGTTTTAAGATTTTAACAAAGACGCATACACACACTACAATGAAGTCACATTTTACATGGGGATTAGGCTTCAATCTAGCACTCAAGACAAAAATAGGTATTTCTATTTGAGGGCCTAGCATATCCAGTTGAATGTGTAATATGCAACTCCAACCTTATTTGTACTGAATCATTATTTTCAGTTCAGGCCTGCAGAGATTCTAGTTTATTGGTGTAGAAGTCCCAAGTCACTTAGAATAATACATTCCCTGATAATTAAGAGATTGATTTAACTTGTTCTTAGATTCATGCCAACTACTTGCTTGGGAATTCTACTCTACTGTCTAACCATATACAGTTTCTTCACAAATAACTGGCAAGAAATGGGAAATATAAGCATATAACAATGACCTTAAATTATAATAAAACTAGCTGTAATAAAAATGCCAAAAAATGTTTTCTAAAATATGAACCACCAAAAATTACTAGAAATTGGTTGACACTGTCCGTTACTTAATTGTAATCTTTGCATATCTGACAGGAATCTAGTTGGGCAAAAATGTAATTTTTGCTATATATTTCCTTCTTTTCCTCTCATTATATTCCCTCCATCCTAACATTCATATCCTTAAGTGCTAGAAGCTAAAGCTAAAGCCACCCACACCTGCTACATACTCTCTCTTCTCCTCTCAACCCTGCCCACTCTTCTCTTTGCAGAGCATATCTATGCCTTTGGCTTGCAATGGGAAGAGGTTCTGCTGCACGGCTAAACCATGAGTATCTTCACTAACTGTCCTAAACAATTTTGGGTACAGATATTTTTGTTAATTTATGGTAATTTTAAGTTTTTCATCAAATAAAGACTGTTATTTGAAAACTGTTCTCCCTCAAACTAGTTAACTTCAGAAAACTGAGAGTTGATCATGCTATGCTAGACAGATCAATAACCATACCTGTTTTATAAGCCACAGCTTCTCAAACAATGTTTAACACTTAAACCCTTTTAATTTTTCTCCTAAATTAAATCATCCCTAATCCCTTTTCCACAGTGTATATATAACATATAAGGCAGTAATTTTTCTTGAAAGTCTGAATGCATACTGAAGGGCAAACAGAGGTAGCTGGAGTCTCAGCTGGCTGGCCTCCCGTGTACCTATCAAAGCGTACCAGAGGCATGCCCATGGAGTCTCAGGAGTCCTCAGAGAGGTTTAAAAACTACTCATATCAAAAAATGTGAAACTTTCCTCACTGATGAAAAAAATTGTTTTAAATTTCTTCCTACTGTTTAACACACATGTATCTTAGACTATCAAAGTGACATAAAACTTGAGATGTCAACAAAGATTTTGAAAATAACCACTAAAAATTGTTTCTCAAAAAATATAGAGAGTATTTTTTTTAATTGGTATTAAATTTGTAAAACCAGAAAACATGTAGGCCATTCTAAAACAAAAAATCATCGGAGAATTAAAGCTTAAAATTCTTATCCTGTTTAATCACTTTCTGAGATAATATAAAAATATTTTTACATGTTAGAAAAATGTTAGAAAAATTTTTTTAAAGAATATTAGATTTATACCTTTATACAAGCAATACTGAAATAAGTTTAAATTTTACCTGACATTAAGTTTCTGAAGATTTTCTAACTCTCTTATAGCAGAAGGAAGGGATGTCAGCTGATTATCATGTATCTGAAAGTTATTAAAAGACACAGTCAATATCTTACTCTTATAAATAACCATAAACTTTGTTACTGCAAAATATTCACTGACAATACTCTAATTATTCTAATTCAATAGTACTGCTGGACTATTGGTAATTTGTTCTGAGTATAGAAGAGAAAAAGGAGTTTGAAATTGACCACATTGCTGTTCAGAGATCATGAAGTAGTAAGACATTAATTTTAAATACTATAGTTAAAAAAAGGAAACTTCACCTCACTGAATGAAATTTCAATCTCAAATGAGAGACAAGAGGGTTAGAATGTATAGCCCTCTGTTGGTATGATTATGCCAATATTTACAAAAAATAAATCAGGAGGAAGATTTCTTCCCTCATGTTTTTACAGAATCATATTGTTTTCAAGGTACAAGGAACCTTCAAGAGAACATCTACACCAACTGATTCATTTTACAAATGAACAAAATAAAAACTTCTCTAGAAATCTGACTACATCCAACTTTTTCAGGCAAAAACTGGAAGATTTTTGGTGATCCTAAGTAAAACAGTGGATTGTGATACAGAAGTCTGTGGATTGTGAAATAAACTACTCATGTTTCACTTTACCACATGACATAGCAACTAGAGACTAAAAACAAAGTCCCTGACTAAATCCACAAAAACTTAAGCCCAATAATTTAAGTCAGTATTGGAGATAAGTAACAAAATAATAATAATAACCTTAAGTACTTGCTTTAATGTCTAGAATAATAATGATCATAAAAAAATAGCAATAAAAAAAGGACAAGCAGCAGAAGCCACTAAACATTAATTCTAATTCTGTTTGTATGTGTTAACACATTTAATTCAAAGATAGGCAGTATTAACAGTCTCGATTTATAGATATGGAAACTGAAGCACAGACAGGCAGCTGTCCCGAGATCACACAGCTAGCAAGCAGCAGAGTTGGAATTGGAAGCCTGAGGTTCTGATGCTGCATTCTTAACCATGATGCTTTGTCTAACACAGTAATTTTGTTATTCTTGCACTCTACCAATTGGGTTTTCTGCTTCTCAAAGTCTAAACTTAGTTTCAGAGTCTTATCAAACAAAAGACTCATAAATCAACTTACATCAAGAACAGTCAGTGCAGGAAGGAGTCGGAGGTCATCAGTAAGTGACTGAAGTTTATTATTTGATATGATTAGTTTGGTCAAATCCGTCTGCTCCCACCATCGCTCAGAGGCATTGAATGAAAGATTCTGATTAGCTTCCTCAGGGATATCCACATTTATTCTCCAAACACACTGAGGCACTATATCCACCATACCACACCAAAAAAAGGAAAGAAAAAAAGAAATCAGATACTAAGGACCTAAGTTGATAACAGCTATTCAAGTTATCTACTGAAATTTCTGAAAGATTAAAAACTTTCAAGTAAATCAAACAAATAGCAATGAATTACAACAACATTAAAATGAAAGTTTGATTTTATTCCAAAACAGAATAGGGGATATGTATTTTTCATATTAGATCTCACTTTTATCTTCATTCAACTGTATTTACTATATACATTTCCTGCATAGCACATAGTGGTTGGATATATAACACAAATAAAGAATGGGCTGTATCTTTATGCTACCATAACAGAGAAGATATGGAAATCAAATGAACAAACTCCTCTATCTCATAACAACTCCATGAGACAGGTGTTATGACTATTCTCACTTTATACATGAGAGAAATGGGACAGAGAGAGAATGTATCATTTGCCCCAAGTTATACAGATAGACAAGATTAAACCCTGGAAAAGCTAAACTATCTTGCTTCTCAGTGAATATTTGTAAGGTATATCTGACTCCGGTGACTGCTCTCTATTTTATCTGATACACAACACAACATTGTTACTCTTGCTGTAGCAAATGCAGCAATTCCTTTGACGCAGCAAATAAGTCTGTACAAGTTAAACAGAAAGAGTTCAGGCTCACCACTATTAAACTGTAGCTCCAGAAGCTATTAACTCGCTTCAGCGCTACAGCAAATGTGTTGTCGCAGATTACATCCATGAAAGAAATTGAATTCGCCATTTAAAACAATCCCACAAAGAAAATTCCAGGCCCAGATGGCTTCACTGGTGAAATCTAGCAGACATTTAGAGTAGAAATAATACTAATTCTACAGAGCCTTTCAGAAAATAAAGGAAATAAAAACTCCCAGCTCATTTTATGAAGTCAGCATTATTCTGATACCAAAATCAGAGACATTAAAAACAGGGGGTTACTCCAAAAAACAAAAACTACTACATCTAAACATCATGACCAAGCAGGAGTTATATCAGGAATGCAAGGCTGCTTTAACATTTGACAATCAAAATGCCTTTGCTCCCTGAAAATTTAGTAGACTAAACCATCTGGGTCCAATCAATAAGTACATTCCAGCACACACTTAGTTTTTGGGAATAATTCATTCATCTACTTATTCCTTCCACAAATGTTTAATAAGAATCAACTATGTACCAAGCACAACTTTCAGTGCTAAGGACACAATGAGCAAAATGAAAAGTCCCTGACCACATGCAACCAATATTCTAGCAGAGGGCAGAGAAGACAATAAACAAATAAATACAGAATACAGATTCTGATAATAATAAATGCTATTAAAAGCAGGTTAGAGAATACAATGTTAGCAAGAGAATTTATTATAGACAGGGTAGTGAGGAAGGACCTATATAAGCAGACTCCTAGAGGAAGTCAAGAAGTGAACCCTAGTCAGGTATCATGTAGAAAGTTCCAGGCTCTGGAATAAGCATGTGTACAAGCACAACCGTAACTTTAAAATATTTATGTTCCCACTGATTAAAACTTTTTCTAGGTAGAGCAGAGATTTTATCATATTTCCTTTCATTCAGCAAGTATTTGCATGGTCAACTCTCTCCATGGCACAATTTTAAAAAAGCAATCATTACGAGGAAATGGAATCTTTTTATTCCAGATGGCCTAAAACCTAAATATAAGTAAAGGAAAACATTACAAGAATAATGCCATAATCTCTCTCTCCCCACTTTCCACGCCCTCCCTTACACAACAGAAAATCAGAAGAGCATCTGACTATAATTCACTCATAGTATCCAGATTTGTGCATTCGAACGTTACTAGATTTTCAGGATGGCCCCAAATTCACTTTGTGTGGCATCCATCTTGATCTTCAATTTAGGAAATATGCTAAATATTCCTTGTATTTAGGATTCTGTCCACATGCAGGCAGAAGAGGGACTTGAACAGAGAACAGTGTCATTTACTCTAAATGCACAAAGGAGCAGATAGAATACAGAATTTTGGCGTTGGTAAATGATCTAAGAGATTAAATTAAGAGGAACAAACGGCCAAAGAGACAAAGCATGTGCCCATCATGCGACAGCTAATTTAGTCAAACATTATGTTGTTTATCCGACAGAATGTGGGAATCCCAGAAAGCGCCCCGTTTAAATTTTGGCCATGTTCCCAGCACATTCCCTGCACCAGACATTTCCTGGAACGAAAAGTAGAAACCGAACGAGCTGACCGAACCAGTGGAGATGTGATAAAAGTCCGAATTCCAGCACCGGGATCCTGGCTAGGATACGGAGCCAAAGGTAGCCAAAGCCAGGCCAGAGGAAGAAAAGAGAGGCGACCAGGGGCAAGTCCTCTGCGCCAAGTCGCACAAACGGGTCGTACCTCTGGACCTTACCTTCGCTGAGGTTGCGGCCCGACAGATTTAACTGGCCGCTCTTCCTCGCCGCCTTTAAGAGTCCCTGGGGTACGCAGGCACTGCAGTCTCTGCTCTCAGTGCGGAAACCCGCTCGGGTATCCCGCCCCGCTATCCCCTTCAGCCGCGACATGTTCAAAGCCCGGGGCTCCGCAGCAGAGTCCCGCCCGTGACGCTTAACGGTGGCGCCACTTGGCCGCCCCGCCCCTACCGGGAGCGCGCGCGGCCTGCGCCGGGCCTTCGCTCTCGGCGGCGCGACTCGGATGTCGTCATCGCCAGCGCCTGGGGCAGGAGGACAGAGGAGCCCTACCCGTTGCCGGTGCCGGCCTTGTGTCTTGGAATTACTTCGCTCAAGTAAGTGTGTTTAACGGGCTGAAGAACGGTGTTGAGTTTACTGTGTGTACTATTACTGCGACTGCAATCTTCTCTTTTGTGCTCCCGCGGCGGCGAGGGTGTCAGGAAAGGATAACCTTCTCTGCGCCTCTCGCCTGGCCGGAACGTGGGCCTTGAGTAAAACTTGAGACCTGGGCGCGGTCTGCAGCCTCTCTGGACCCCTGCCTGTGTTGTCGCTTGTGGTGCTGGCGCCAGATCTCCGTTCCGCGTAGGAAGTAAAACTGATTTCGGTTCTTCTGATCTCTACTCCGACTCTTAGCATTAGTGCGTCTTGATTGTTGTTGCATGGAATTTGTAGTCCAGCACAGGAGGCAGTCTGAAATGGAAGGGTTGGCCACAGAGAAGGGAAGGAAAAAAAAAACAGAGCTTCATAATAGATGTTGTCTCTGCCAGACAGTTGAGAGGAGCCCAGTGTAAGCGCGAGCTTGAGTGTAGTGAGAAAAGCTTGCTCTTCGGCGCTCGAGAGATAGGAGTTCGAATCCCAATTGCTTCTGTAGCTTACCAGCTGTGTAACTTTAGGCAAGTTTGCTTGACAGCTTTTAAAGTTAACTCCTTTTTCATTAATTCAGGGTTAATCATTTCTCTCTCATTCGATTTTTTAAATAATTAAGTGAAAATAAAGTTTTAAATATTGAGCGCTTGGTGGGAAAAGGAACGCCATCCAGTTCCAAATGGAAGATGAAAATTTTGTTCAAAGTCGATTATCTTGGGAAGTTAGTTTCTATCTGAAATATAAAGCTGTAAAGCTGTAATGAGTCATTCAATATGTAATTAACAACTCATCATCTTTAGTATTGCCTTGGGTGGTAGATTTTTCTTTTGCCTAAAGTAATTGTCTTAAAACCGTACATCAGGAAATACTCTTCTAAGCCCCCTCAACTAGGCTGGAGATCTTTAGGATATTTAAAAGGTAATATGACGACCCGCTGACGAATTCTGCAGCACACAGTTTTTGCTGAGTCTAGGTTCTTGCCAACCGTAAAATTTGGCTTCTATTCCCCCACCCTCTTGATTATTTCTCGTAATTCTCTGGAGTGCTTTGCATCCAAAGTGAGCAGCATTACAAGTAATTACACTCCTAAGCAAGGAAAGGTGGTTTTGAAGTAAGGAATATAGTAGTTTTTGCAAGATCACTAATAACACCCAATAAGTTGAGGGTGGAAGGGATTAAGAAACTTGCCAAAGGTCACAAGTTTCTATAACTGGTGTGACCAAGCATTTGAACCTAGCTCTCTTAACCTTTCTTGTTAATCACTATGATTTGCATAGTGGCTTTTATTTCATCATTTTCAACTGGCTTTTGTCCTGCAACCATTTTTAGGAAGACTTCAGTTATGTTTTAAGAGATAATTATTAGAGAAAACTCTTATTTTCTCTTTTTTAGGGTGTAGAAGCCTACCTTTGGAGGATTAATTGCTTGAATGTAAAGATTTACAATAGCCACCTCTCCCCCTTAAAACTCTCTCATAGCTCAGCATTTTTTTTTTTTAATTACAGGCAAGGTATAGTTTTTTGATTTATTGTGCTTTTACTTGACGTTAAATATTTCATTATTGACATCTAATTATAGTATTATATTGAAACTGTTGCATTTTGTATGAGAAGCATATTCTAACTAATGGCAGAGTAATTCTGAAAAATCCATGTGACTGCACACTTGTGGTAAACTTCAATATAAATTGAAATGTATAAAAATTTAACAAGTATATGTCTATAGTACACCATGTATTATATACATGTGTAGCAAATGCAGATTGAACAAGTAAAGGTGAAAATTATTACCTCAAGCAGTCAGGAAAATCATGGGTTTTGTCTCAAATTGATGCAAACTGAAAGTTTATCAACTTGAACTTTATGAGAAAGTGTAGTTATGTATAGTTACATTTGTGGGAATTAGCATTGTATATGAATTGTAACGCTTCCGAAAGAATACATTAAAACAAAAAAACCAATCCTTTTTCAACATGGGCATTGAAGCTAAAGTATTTGCTTTTTTTAAAAAAAAGTGATTATTAAAACAATGTGAAACGTATATCCTGTACAAGGGCTGGAGACTGCATAGTTATCTTTCTAATAGAATTTTCCCGGCTACAATTTATTATATTCATTTTATTAAAGTATGGAAGGCTTCACTTTTCTAGCTTTGCTAAATGAAAACGGAAAATGAAGGAGTCAAATATATACTGAGCTTAAGAATTAGATCAGCCAAAGATAATGTTCTGTCTCATAACAGAAAGCAAGACTTATCAAAGTAAGGTAGAGCGGCTTGTCACTGCTACTAAAATTTAATAAGATGTTAAAACATGGCTGTGTTATTCTTATGAACACTGCTATGTGTTAGATATTGTCAGCGTTGAAAGGTACATTTGATAAGATGAATTTATTGAGGCAGATTGAAAAATTGTGACAAAGGAAAATGGCATTAATTTGTGCACATTTTTAAGCATTTTTTAAATGTCATCAGGAGCTAAGTGAATTTGATTGCAGGCGAAACGTCTGGGAAGTATTCTTTTTCTGTAAAATAGCAGATTTAGACTTAGCCTGTATTGAATCAGTATAATGTTCACCTTTCAGAATATTGCCTTATCTATGAGAACTGCTATTTTATGCTAAAGTTATTTATTAAGAGAACATTCTACTTTTTAGCAGTCATTATTGACAAGCTGATGTACCTAACAGGTATTGCTTATTAAATATTCTGAGTTGAATGTTTTATATTCTGATATACTTATTATTCAGAATTTCCTTTCTGTGTTTGTCCTTACTCTATAAATAAATTGGTTTTAATTGTCAAAATGGAGATCAAATTATTTTGCACATGGACTGGTCATGTTTTAAATATTCAGCTTCAATGGTGCTTGTTACATGTCTTTTGTTTCATTTGAAAATTGCATTTTGGACGTTTGTTTTCTATTTAAACTTACAACTGCCAGCTTTAAAAAGTAGTCAGTAAAAATAAATAAATAAATAAAAGTAGTCAGTAGAAAACATACTATTTCCTTGAAGGCAGTATATATTTTGCATATTTATCCATAGTTTCAACTGTGGCTTTGACTTGTATTTTATTTTTACTGGAGCTGTGTGTGGTAATTTTTTCTGAAGACAGTGCAGTTTACTTAGATTGTTCATTTGTATATCCTTTGTATGCTCCCCTTGTTTCTCTTCTTAGTTTTGAATCAGGAAGCAGTAAATTTGTTCTAGGAGGTTTAATATTTGATATAAATGTTGTCTTCTATTCCTCTCTACTTTCAGTGTAAAAGTCCACTAGATTTAGGAAAATATTTTTACTTTTCCTCTTATAAAGAGGCTTACTGTTTTTCACATGAAGTGGAGGAAGCAGGGCTTTTTTTTTAAAGTTTTTATATCATTATTACTTTTAGTGTTTTTTGTTTGCTTATAGTCTATCTGTTGAAAATAAGAAGTTAAAACAGAGGTTTTAAAGCAGTCTTGCTTATGTCATTAAATAAGAAGCACTTATGGCATTATTTCTTTTTCTAAAATCAGCTGAAAATGTTTCCATTATCCCTGAAAAGTGAAAGTGAAAGTCACTCAGTCGTGTCCGACTCTTTGCAACCCCCTGGACTACAGTCCATGGAATTCTCCAGGCCAGAATACTGGAGTGGGTAACCTTTCCCTTTTCCAGGGGATTCCATTATCCCTGAAAAGTGAAAGTGAAAGTCACTCAGTCGTGTCTGACTCTTTGCGACCCCCTGGACTACAGTCCATGGAATTCTCCAGGCCAGAATACTGGAGTGGGTAGCCTTTCCCTTTTCCAGGGGATTTCACAACCCAGGGATTGAACCCAGGTCTCCTGAATTGTAGGTGGATTCATTATCGCTAGAGATTCTTAACTTCTAACATTTAATAACTATTTTCTTGCTTGTTTTTCCATGATTAATGTGATCTGTGACTTAAAGTCTTAATTTTAACATTAATTGTATAGGTTTTATGATTTTATCTTAAAGTCATAAAGTAATAATGGAGATAAAATTAGGACACTAACCCTGAGAATGTACTTCATATCATTCTTTGTGTTAACAAAGACAAAATCAATACCAACTAAATGTTTTTTTAAATCATTTTGATCAAAATCCACTATTTTGATATTTGACTTTATATCATTCCTGGCAACTCTAAAAAACAAATTTGCTCAATAATTATATATGGTTAATGTTGTTCTGTATGAGCAAATGTCCCCAACAGCTTTAATAAGACAAGATATGACTCCTAAGACTTTATTCTTAATACCAACTTGAGTTGATAAGGGGAAAAATATTAATTTGATAGTTTGTTGACATTCACAACTAATAGATTTTTATTTAAAAATTTGTAAATTTGCAGATGGGATATTTATATTCACAATTGCAATTAAGATGAATGCTAGCTTAACTTTCAAAATACCTGCAACTGTCCACTACTTTTTTTTAATCATTTTTTTTCCCCACCCTTTAAAATATCACAGTTACTTATACTTACGTGATTTGAATGGTACTATTATTGCCAGGGAAGGGTGTGGTAAAATCCTAGTGAACATTTAAATACTTGGTTCTCACAATACAAATCTGTGAAACCAGAGCTTTTGCTTTTCATCTTTCTAGGGATAACATGTTTTCCACTTGTCAATAAATTTACCTGTCGTTTAATAGAGAAGAAGGCAATGGCATCCCGCTCCAGTATCGTTGCCTAGAGAATCCCACGGACAGAGAAGCATGGTGGGCTACAATCCATGGGGTCACAAAGAGAGTCAGACTCGACTGAGTGACTAACACACACACACAGAGCTTT